AGACTAGGGTGTTTTCACGTATTAGCTCCCAGACCCTTCTGGCGAAGGCCTTTTCCGGAGGAAAAGGTTTAGCGTTGAGCTAAACGCCGTAGGCGCCGCGCTAAGGGTCTGGGAAGCTGAGACAAGTAGTCACTCCGCTCCTCGTAAGCACTACGGTGAATCATATTTGTCAACGACTGACCCATACGGTGGCGCGTAAACCACGGTTCGGCAATCCTTCTGTTGGCTACACATTAAATACCCTCTTTTTCCATCTCTTCTCCCGACAATATTTCGCAATGCTGCACTCGTACACCGAAGTTCAGACATTCCTGTGCACCGAAGACCCTGAACCGTCCATCCGGCGACAACGCGTTTATTCACCTGTCAAAACTCGCGCTGGCATGTCACCGTTGCCTTCATCTCGAAAGGGGATGCAGAAGAAAAGTTCAAGTCGCTTTTCGCAAAAACCGATCAAGCACCAACTCAGACAACGAGATGAATTCCGATATTTCGTCATCCATCTCCACCAACTCGGCAGGCTCACTCTTCTGGACGATACTGTGACCGAGGTCGAATTGAAGCTTGTGCCTACCGAGTCAGCATTGCCCAGCTCTCAGCTTTTGTGGTGTCACCTAATCCATACCAGACAATCTCCTCCACCGACGGTCGACCTGTGATGAGAGGTATTCTCATGTCATATTATCCTGAAGGGGCTCTTGAAGAATGGCTGAGAAAAACACAGTCGCCAATCTACACTGGCAGCGTTGGCCCCTTCAAATCTGGCGGGGTCTGCACAGTTTGCATTCAAGAAATATTGCCCACGCGGATCTCAAGCCCGGTAACATCGTCATCGATGACTGCGGGAACGCAGTCGTCATTGATATAAGCGGCATTGGCGGAGTCACGTACGAATTGCGTGCACCGGAGATCTGTTTCGAAGCATCACAGGCCTCGCTCGAAGCTGAGAAGCTGAGCGGCATCTGGGCGTATGGTAAAAAGATGTCGACGATTGCGGAGAGATACCCAGTGTCGCAATGGCTGCGAGAGGTTGCAGCAACCACCCATGTGTGGATCCTCCAAACTACGCCCGGGATCTCGGTTCGATTATTTCTGAGCTGGAGAGGCACGCTGCAATGACCGATCTTGAGTGTGACGCATGACTATACTTGACATCGACACTGTATAACGGAACCAACACACTGCTCTGGACGCTCGCACTGTAGAGAAGACATTTTGTTGCACCCGTTGATGTCACAGCCGGGCTAATCCTGTCGTGGACACATCGGTAGCTATTCCAGTGTTGCACAAAGGTTTCTTCGATTTCGCGCTATGGCTTGCAAATGACGAGGACCTGTCGTGGTGGCCGCAACCGTGGACGCGGTCACGGAACTGATACATTGACTGTGCCCCCTGCGAACCGGAATCGTTGACAATCACAGACAGCGGACTACCCGCCCGGATAGCAGGTTCTTGCTGTCCAATACACCACCCAACCGCCAGCCTACTCTTTCTATGGGAAAGAGGCCGGCGATGACTCTCAAGCAGAAGCTATGTAACGGGCGCTGCGGTTGTACGCCTCATTGGAAGAATTAGCAGAGTATCGTTACACGGAAAGCTGCAAGACGGTCAAGACCACCATCGGAAGGCGTCCTGCTCTCTGCGTGGAGAAAACGACAACTCCTGGAGGCTAGCCACCACCGTCCATCAGGCCTTTTCCGATATTCGAACGGCACAAGGTTATATGAAATGGATTTGCCATGACGACGACGAATGCGTTTACCTTTCTCAGGCAGGAACGATTTCAGCCATGGCTCAAGCGGAACGCCAACAGAGACCCTCCTTGTTCTCACCTTTTTTTCATTCCCCCACAGACAGGGCTTTGCACTTCTTTTCCGCACAGTCTGGACGAATGCCTTCAAGCAAGGACACAGCGGAATTGGTATTCTGTGATGGAATTTGCTCAAAAAAGCATACCTTTTTGTTACGTCAGTGCAGGGCGAAAGACTGTGTCATTGGGAATCTGCGCCACACTTTGACCTCTACTTTCCCACTCGGCGAAACGCACTGCCTCACTCAATTTTGTATGCTCACATCGGGCAACACGTCTGATTGACGCGCGTTCCGGAACTCATCGTCGAAAATGGGTAAATTCCGAAAAACTGTGAGTTTTCCAAGGAGCTCCCACCCGTGGGTAAATTCCGTCGGGTGTGATTGAGTGGTTTTCTCCTTCTTCGCTGTCGGGGATGGTGGCATCAGGTTTCTGATGGTTTGAGCGGATGACCTGCGCCTGCTTCACGCAAGACGGGGACATGCCTCCCGCAGTAAGAAGAACCGCGACTCGTCCATGAGGATATTCTCGCTCAGATATACTGCCTCACGATGGGATCTCGCTCAGACAGCAGGGAATGGTGGTACGGCGAAAAATGAGAGAATGTGGAGAGGATATGTTGCTTTCCTGCTCTCGTATACCACCACCTACGGCAGCAGGACATGAATTGGTTTACGGTTTGTCCGTTCTATTCGATTAATCAACATATAAGAAAGCAGCAGGTTTAATCATCGCTCACGTGGCTGAGATCAAGGTCAAGGTCCAAATCGAGGGGGAGGGGGCATTCAAACTTGCTTCAGAGTCTACGTGTAACTCCATGACCAGCACCACTCCGCCGGTCAAACAAGACATACCTATCCAGTTCAGTCCTGTCACCGATTCTCCAAAAGCCACTCCAAAATCTCGAGGCTGGACAGCGTCGACGGATCATCCTCCCCCAGCTCTTCCCTCTTGATCTCGACGACCCGGCCCATCACCCGCTTCGCCTCGCCGTACTTTTCCCGGTCCACCAGCACGGCCGCCAGATTACCCATGCTGGTCCACGTATCCGGGTGGTGCTCGCCCAGGAGGTCGACCGTCAGCTCCAACTCCTCGCGGTGCAGTCGTTCGCCTTCGCGCAGTTTCCCCTGCTTGCTGAGCGATGTGGCCAGGTTGTTCATGCTGGTTAGGGTGGCACGGTGGCGGTGGCCCAGGAGATTCCTGCTGAGGCGGAGAGCGCGTCGATATAGCTCCTCCGCCGCTTGGTGGTCGCCGAGTTGGGCCAAGGCGATGGCTTGGTCCGTCAGAGGTATCAGTCTCTGGATCGAGGACTGTTCTCGATCGTCGTACCGAGGGAGGAGGAGATGCATTCCTCGGCAAGGGCGGCGAGAGTGGTGACAATGGTTAGATATCCACCTGGGCACTTGGAGACGTTGGTATATCAAGGGATCGATTGTGATTTGTCCTCGTTAGACGGACCGGATTTGAGCTCAAAGTGTGCATTTTCTGTTCTATCTAGTGTAATATTTTGAACTCCTTGACAAACGATCGGCATGCTTTGAACAAAGAGGCGTGTGGAGGCCACCTTGACGCCGCAAACGAAATGAAGGAGGGGAGATTCTTTGTCCTCTTCACACCCACCCCAACCGGAATTGTATGACAAGGGCTTTGTTTGTGATTACTACTCCTCGACGCTCTCTCAAGCCCCGCTCGATACACGACTTTCCCTCATTTCGACAAGTGCCTGTGCTGAAGTTCGATCGAAAGACCCAAGAAAACTTGGACTAATTCAGTCGCGCTGCTTGTATTAACGGCGTCGAAGGGCAAAGCCCACCAATGAAACAAAGCCTCCCACCTTCACCTCCCCTTCGCCTCCAGTAGAGACATTCCCTTTGTCGGACAATGCTCCACAAAACTGCGCTTGTTCATCACATTAGCAAGGGGTTCTCCACACGGAATTTTCGAGTCACGGGCCTGTCACTGGACCATCATCAAGCCACAACACAAAGTCGTCACGCCATGTCGGACCAAGTGCGTCCCAGAGTGCCCAGGTGACCTTCTCCCATTTTTCATGGGCAGGACGCTTGGACGCTGGATCTCGCTGAAAGATCTGGTCAACCATTGGTCTCGTCTCCTGTCTGCGACCGTAGTTTCTCAAGACCTGAAGGACGACATTCATGCTCCTTTCCCCCTTGGTCAGACCTAAATGATGGTCCGTCTCGCAGAGTTCACACGTGAACATGACCGGGAGTGGCAGCTCGGAGGCGACGGCATATTCAAACATGTTCACCACTTGACGAGCGGCACCTCGATGGTAGCACGAGTTTCTGCCCAACAAGATCCTTGCGCCTACAATCTCTCTTGGGGAGAACATTTCTACCTCCAGTCGAGTGGCCACCAAAAGTTGACCGTCTACCAGTCGCGCCGCGGTCTTTTGGAAAACACCGGACCGACTAACCCCGCTCGTCTTGAAGAACGTGATCGGTAAGCCGTCGTCTCGCAAGGCCAAGTCGACCACCTCGCGCGTGATGGCTATGGCGCGATTGTCTCCTGCTCTGATGGTCTGGGGTGGTGATAGACGTGTATCCTCGTCTGAGTGGCGGTCTGAATGTGGGCAGGCATAGTTGAAGGGTTTCCTCCCACGCCAGAGGAATAGCTTCGCGCAGGATCGGCATGTCAGGTACTCCGGGTGGTCGCGCTCCAGAAGCTGCAGGAACCGTATCTTTTCGGCTTTGTCGTCGAGCGTCAAGTCAAAGTTGGCGTTGAGGAGACCATGGAGCTGTTGGCACGAGAGACTGAGGAGGAGCTGGGACTCTGGCTCGAGAAAATTAGTGGCTGCGAAGAGTAGTTCATTGGGAAGACGGAGCAGAGCAGGGATCGGACGGTGCTGTTGGTCTGTAGTGTCAGCCGGGGTGACTATGTCGTCGTCGTCGGCTGCGTCTATCCGTGAACTCATGGAACTGATGGTTGCTAGCACTGGAGCACGGGGCGTCGTGTAGGGATGAGGAACAGGTTTTGAGCGGAAGTTGGCAACCCCAAGGAATTTAAAATTGTGAAAACGCATTGCAAAGCTGGGAAACTCGTCAACTTTTCGTCAAAGCTGTGAACTGAAGAACGAGGGTTGAAAGTATCCAACTTCTACAGAGACAGATGGTGAGAATATATATAGACACGCTACCGGAAGCAATATCGCGGCCTACAATCACGGATAGGTAAGTGAAGAGTCTCAATCCAACTCGTTTGTCGTGAAACGTTAGCCACGTGAATATTCCCAAAAGTTAAAACGCGTTCGGTCCCGGCAAAGCATTCTCTGTCGCCAGTGCAGCCCGTGCAGCCCTTAACAGTCCGGTCGCTGTAACTACAACTGAACGAGCAGTGGGTGGACAAAGAGTCCTGGATCGTTTTGTCCATCGGTGCCCGCAGCCTTGTCTCAGACCTTGTCCGAATTAATCCTTGACATTCAAACAGTAGCGGCGACAGAAAGTTCTCTCCTGAATTCTGTCACAGATATCTGCATCTGGCATCCGATGCATCAGATCTCGTCAACGCAGGTCTTAATCTTTGACCGCTTATCTACCAAAACTCTGTGGGTTTCTGTTCATCAGCAGCAAAGATGACGTTACAGGCAAATCACCCACAGGACACAAATCACCAAATGAGCCTTTACAGGTTCTTAAGCGTCATCTTTCAGAAACAGTGGGAGTCGGATTGGATGCCTGCACGATCACTTGTCGCTTTCACGGTTCAATAATCTTCTGTTCTCTCCGGGAGTTGGCTGCGTGACCGCTACTTGCACCGTGACCTTGGCCATATTAGCCCGTGATGGTCCTTCGTACCGCATTCTCGAACATGGCCCATGCACGGTGATGATGCTTTCACAGGACCTTTCTCACCAGATCCCAGGCCATTGTCTTGCAAGACACCAAATTTTAGTACCGGAAATTCAACCCCCAAGATACTCAATCCCTGCCTGCGCAGCCAGCTTGTATATGTGTATGTGTACAACTACTTCAATCCCTGACTGCACAATATATCTTGTACGTACGTGGCCAGGCTGATCATGAGGCCCTGCGACGTGCGTGTGCCTGGTTAGAATGTGCTGCAAATGGTAACGACAAGTGATCTCAGATGTTTGGAGAGACCTTGATTCATCCAAAGAGAGGACCGGGTCAGTATCTGAGCTCATACAGCCGACGCAGGGACTGGACAAAGGAAGCGTCGCTGCTCATGCGGCAGAAAAGTACGTGTCTTGGCGGTAAAATTAAGGTTTGCACTAGCTGACAAAGCGGTCGGTCCCTTCCAAATCCCGACGGGCGGTCGGCGCGACCTCGGCTGTTTCGGGTTGTTTCGGGGGTTCATTTTTGGCTGGAGCCTGGGCAGGCAGGTAGCAGCAGAGTCTTCGTAAACCTTGAGACAACTACACAAAGACCATCACTCTTCCACCTCCCGTCACACTCCATGTAATTCTGGAGTAGCTCTTGTCGAATTCGGCTTGTCGGACTAGGCTGCACGGCTCAGGATGGCGGATTCAAACGCCGACGTCCCCCGAACAATGAAGTCGCTCGTCGCGCCACGTTATTGCACCCCGGCGGGATACGAGGTGGTCGAGGTCCCCGTGCCCGAACTCAAGAAGCCACACGAGGTGCTGGTCCGGATGCGCGCCGCGTGCGTCAATCCCGGCGATACGCAGGTCGCCAGTGGGGCGGTCAGGTTCTTCCAATCATTCAGGTAGTCCTGCCTTTTTCTTCATCTTCAGGAGGCAAGCGATGGACAAAGATGAGAATGAGACAACCTGTCTGATTACCTCCTCCAGCTTTCCGATCAAGTTGGGCGTCGAAGGCGCGGGCGTCGTCGTCCAAGTCGGTTCGGCCGTCGAGACTGTGAAGCCGGGGGATGAGGTGTATATGTTGGAATCGGACCCGGCGAGCAGTACTTGCACCCCCACGCCCCAGAGGGTTTTGGGGCACTGAGTACACGGGCTGACGGAGACTGCAGACTTTGAACATATCGGATTCATCTCCGAGTACGCCCTCGCGTCCGAGAAGTTTGTGATTCGCAAACCGGCAAACATGACGTTCGTCGAAGCGGCGTCCCTGTTGGGATCCACCATGCCCGGGATCGAGGCGTTCGAGACGGTCTTGAGACACATGCCCGAGGGCGAGACCATCGAGGGCAAGACGGTGCTTGTGACGGCCGGACTGGGTGCGCTCGGCTCGGTCGGCACTCAACTGGCAAAGAACGTCTACGGCGCGGGCAAGGTCCTCACGACCGTCTCGACGCCCAAAGTCCCGCTCGTCGAGACCTACACACCGGGCATCGTCGACAAGGTCATCGACTACAAGACGCAGGACATCCTGAAGGTGGTGCCCCGAGGCTCGGTTGACGTCGTCTACAACGCCCCCTGGGGATTCACACACCTCTTCCCGCTTGTCAATCCGAAATCGGGCGTCTTCATCACTGCCTCCGGGATCCCAAACAGCCGCTCCTTGAAACCCGTGTTCCCCCATCTGCCGCGTGTCATCGGCTGGCTGGCGGACCTCCTGCAGTGGTGGTATCTGTGGAGGTTCGTGGGCACTTCGGTCCACTACGAGATGATCATGAGCAAGCCGTGGGACAGGCAGAAGCTGGAACGAGCGGGTGAAGTCATCAACGCGGGTCTCGTCAAGGCAGTGACCACGGAAGCCCGGTTCGATGATATCGAGGCCGTTCGTCGAGGCTGCCAACACACGTACGATGGTCACGGTGGACTGGGAAAGTTTGTCGTCACGTTCGCATAGATTATCCATCATGCATGCATGACAGGGCTGAAAGAAAGTTCAAAGCCCACAGGAGTATCATGGCGAATGCTGGCTCTTGCGGACTGTGATCTCCATTCTCGGGCGAGGCGGGATACAAACCCCTCTAGCCCTTCGAGATCAGCACTGCTTGGGTTACGAATGCACTTTGGGATTCGGTCAAGCTGCTTTGGCCCTGCTCCTGCTCCTGCTCGTTCGTAACGTATGTCGTTCTCTCCATTGACGTCGATGAGGAAGAATATCAAACTCCGAGTAGAATGCGGAGCGAATTCAAACCTGTAACGAGTCTATTTCTTCTTCTTCTTTTTGTGATGGTCTGACTTCCGTTAGACGTCACAGCCACAACAGTATAAAATCAATCTTTAGCATGATACCACAGAAGCGATGTTCATTTCTGGCTCTCCTCGCTGGCGTAGCTGAGGGATTGGTGCTCTACACTCTCCAGAAAGATACACCAATCACAGGAGTGGTCGAATGAGACGAACCGAGCTTCGACACTACCCTTCGGCAAGGCAAGCGCTCGGAAGGACGATATCACCGCGGATGTAATCCACCAACACGTCGTTCCTGATCAATTTGGCCGACCTCAGTCTTCACCCATCCCTGTCACATACTGCCGCTGCACTTCCAAACTTTGCCAGTCACAGAGTTTCAGCCGAAAATCTTCTTGTTAGATCGTGGAGGGCAGTTGCCCTGGAAATAAGTATCTTGCGGTACGAGTTAATTGAGCGACCTGTACCCGCTCGGCTGGCTCCGGCAATGGACTTCCCTGATGTATGGGAGTCTTCATCGCCCATCGGGTTGGTCCTCTTGAGACATAAGGATTGGTAACAGTCCGACTGGTGCGACGTGGATCTCTGTGGGACGTGCTTGAGGCAAGTAGCGATCGGATGGAGATGACTGTGACGCGAACACAGTGCAAATGGCTCTGCAAATCGCCGATATCTCTTGCGTTTTGATTCCCATGGGAAGCATGGGAGTGAGAAAAGGACTTTGGTTTCCGCCAACGTGTAATCGCGAATGACTGGCACCGTTTAATCCGACTTGAGCTGTCGCTGGATAATCAATTTCGTATTTCTTGAACAGAATAGACCTCGTACATGACGACTGACGAGCTTCCTAACCTGGAGCCTTGCCGGCGTATTCGTTGGTTTGAGCTTCGTGGCATTGACGATGCGACCTTCTGTGACCTGGATTGATCAAAGTTACTGGAAGAGACTTTCATGTGGAAGCTGCACAATGGACACTGAGCATCCCGAGCATGCGGAACGCTCATTCGGTCGATCATGTATTCGGAAGCTGGGCCTTTGGTCAGATTTCCAATGTTCTGGTTGTTTAATCACGAGCTCAATCTTAGTTTCAAATGCACGGTACTGGAAAGGGCTTTGACAAGCGATATACTCTGCCTTGTACTGCGGTATCCTTGATCGTAGGCATGTCGAATTCAGCTGGCAACCATGGACCAAGACCGCGATCATCGTTGCGGTCGTCGTTCCTCACATGATCCCAGCCGGCAGTTTCCTCCCGTGCTTCCCAGGAAGGACAAGCAAGGTAGACATGGTTGCGGAGCGTTGTCTTCTGTTGGCTCTATCGTTGCCAATATGGTCGATATGCTATTTGGTGTCGCCTCCATCCTATGGTGTAGAGCAGGAAGGCCCAGGTTACTGCTTTTGTCTCATGATAAGTATTCCTTTGTGCTGGCATAAACGCTATCGATGTCTTCGCACCAATTCTGCTATATATTGACACTATCGTCGCCGCTTTCAAGGCATCTGTTGTGTGCCATTGTTCCTTCTTGTATCGAGGACGGATGCCGTGGGACTCTGCCTGAGATCGGCCAACTGGTTCTCTCAGATGTTCCACTGTCACCGTCAGGGTTCGTTGTCGAAATGTCGACAGAGATGGCAACGCACCTGCACGTCACCGCTACCTCCTGTGTCTCGACTTCATTCCGAAGAGGTATAAGACTCCCGATTCAGTACCGTTTGTGCGTCGTTGCAAAAGATCTTAAACTCCCTGGGTGATAGAAAGAGCCCAGTAACTTGTCTTCAGATGGCACATTCACCAGCGTTCGAAGATGTCACCCCCTCTGTCACTCAAAGCCTGCGTTGATCATTATCAAATCTTGTCAACGGTAAGTGAGCCAACAACGTATCACCAAGAGAGTAGCTGACACCACGTCGGTATGATCTGTTGTTGACAAAAAAAGCGGAATAGGTCGCCGTATCCTGCCACTTAGTGCTTGGCTGTTCTTGCCCTTGGATGAAAAGACTGCTCACATTCCCCGATTTAATTGATTACGACCAGAAACCAGAGGAGCACCACGTTATCTGACATAGTGAGTGCTTCACGGAAATCGAGCTTTGATTGCTATCTGATGTTTTCTAAGCGCTCGTTATCGTCTGGCCGCAAAGTCTTCTGCAAGATATGCCACCATCTCAATATTCAGCATACATTCCAGAAGTGCACTGCTTCTGGATGCTGGAAACAATGGAAGACATGCCAGGCGGGGGGAAACTGGAGGCTCTGTGGGGTGAGTGCTGGGAGCATCCGGCCTGTGGACCATCGGGGACAGCGCCGAATTGCTGGATCAGAAACAATGCAGCAAACCACTAAACCTAGTGGGCCTCCTCGTGGCGCCTGTACTGGCGATCAGGTTGATCATGGTTGAGGAGGAATCCACTTTGCAGGAGAATTGATATAGTTCATCCTCGTCATCCTCGTCGTCCTCGTCATCCAGAGTATCGATCAGGCCCTCGAGCCATTCATGGGTCCAGATTGCAGATTCTTCAGGCTTGGTTCCGTCCCGCAATGTCCAGTTGAACACATTCCGAGTAGCCAACCGAGACAAATTCTCACCGTGAGAAGCTGCAACTAGTGCCATGGTTAAACGCTGAGTGCGACCATGTTCTTAGTCGGAGTCGATACAGTAAATACGAAATTCGAAGATTGAATCCTGGTGCCAGGGATCTGGCTTGTTTGGCTGTGATTCCTGCATCGATTACGTGCCCGTGCCCATTTCCTTGCCAAACCCAGTGGTTGTATGTCAAACGATGTCCACAAAGAGCGTGACTCTGAACCTCGATTGTAGCACTTTTGAGAGCCGTTGTCCCGAGAGGCTTCCAGGGACATAATGGTGGTGGTCCATATTGGCTCGATTCAATGTCAATTAGGTACATCAGGCGAAACTCTTCCTCGCGGCGAATCAGCTTGCAACCGTCGCTGTCCTCCAAACACTGCACCTTCCCGTGGTACTGAGGATCCATGAATGACTGGGGAGACTGGGTCCATTGAGTGGATTCAAGCGATATTGTCGGCAGATAATTCCCAGCAATCTCAAACAACCTGGGCAGTAGGCCGGTGATTGTGGACCCTAGCCAGAGTGGTGCAGAGTTTGGCCGACGATGGGCCATCATGCGGACGATAACATCGTATCGCTGCTCCTTTAGCAGACTTGGAACAATTTCTTCCACAGGTGGAAGTAGCCATTCACCCGCAAGGTTACAAGTCACGCTGGGTTCCCAAAGGCATCCAAGCATGCAAGATGCTGCTGTATTTGGGACACAGCTGTATGCCATGAAATGTGGTAGGTCTTCTTTGCCTGGCAAAAGTCTGAGCAATGGTGAATGATCGTTTGGACTACCGGTGTGCCGACGGCTTGTGTGCGTAGACTCTGGCCAAGGGAGGGTGATGGGAGCACCGAATCTTCCTTGCTCGGGTATTGTCAGTGCAGCAACAAATGCGGCCAAGAGCTGGTCATGTGCGTTATGAAGTTTGGCGAATTTGTAGAGATAGTGCTGCGCCAGTTCCGAGGCTGGAGGGTGGGAAGCCGTAGGCGAAGAGCTCCTCGGTTGACCATGGCGGATCTGGATTCGCGGAGAGCCACTCGCTAGATGGCATGACCACATGGGATAAAAGTCTCGACCAGAACGTTTGAGAGCAGCGCGCCATCCATACCCTTTGGCTAGGACGGCAGCCCACCATCGACACTCGCCAACATCTGCTTCGCCAATAGATATGAAGACTTCACTGTCGCTTTTGCTCAGAGTCCCAGAGGTATCGCACGTAGCCTTCTCTTCAGTGTAGCTGATATGGTCTTGCTCTGACTCTTTTCGCAGCTCGATCAGCCGTGCGGAAAGCACGTAAGCCCAGCCCAAAACAAAGGCGAACAGGTAGTTTCCGTTCCCGCTAGTGCGATGACATCCCTCAATGCCCGACCACTCCGAAGGTAATTCGTTTGAGAAGTGGCAAAAGGTTGAGCGAACAGATCCGATAATGATTTTCTGCAGTGCTGATTTCTTGATATTTCCGCTGAGATCACACTGAGGCGCGTCAAGGCCCCAGACCGAGAATCCCTCGAGATATATTGAGGTGTCACTGACTAGCTCTTCGATTTTTGCGCGGCTTGGGAGAGCTGGTGTTTGGTGGAGGAGGCTGCTGAGATTGAGGCAAGACGAAGGAAAGCTTTGAGCGGAAAGGGCACGGATGAGGAGTGAGGTCCATTGGCGTCGGGAGGCGTGGAGGACAGCGGAGGACTCCTCACGACTAGGTGGGAGCGGATCACTTGCTCGGCCATTCATGACTTGAAATTTATGTCCAATGTGAGATGTTGGAAGTAGAGCGGCTGAAGTGGAGCTGGTCAATCCTGTCTCCAAGGACTTGGATGTTGAAGGGTATCTCGATGGTCTGGTCCCAGCTCTTGCTTTCCACGGCGTCACTTAACAGGCAGGCAGAGTCTGCAAATGTGGCTTGCATTTCGAACCGAAGTAGGAGTTTCTCTCAATGCTTCCATGAAAGACTCGGTCGGATGTACCTGTTGCTGAAGGACTCTGAGGCGTCGTGTTCGTGAAGGTTGATCTTGGTCGAAAGATCACGCACGTCTGTGTGAGGAGAAGAATTGCGAAGCGCGTTCAACCACTGAAGACTATGACGCCAAGACGAAAGCAAACTGAGATTCGCGGAGTTTAGTTTTTCCTTGCAGTATCCGACTCCTGGCTGACAGAACTTACTCCCTTCTATTGGTCTGATAATCATAACGTCTTCTCCCTCGCTCTCCATAAAGACAGGTCCTCTCCGGTAGGCTTTGACCTTCCTAACAAGACCTTTTCGCACTGGTTCATATCAGTTAATCAATCACTGTGATCATTCTGATGACCGTGAACAGACAGACGCACAGGAAGCCACTTTTGGTTTTTGTGTGTGTGTGTCTTTGTCCTTTCTCCTTGTTGTCCGGTGCTGGTGGTTCTGAATGATGTCAGGATAACTAACAAATGCAGATACAGACTCTGTCAGTCAAAAACACGCTATGCCGCGGCATCCCAGAAACGGCTGCTGATTGGCCAGCCCGCCGAAAGTCGCCTGTCGGACAAATCAGTATTTTTCCCAACACACGTGGTTGCTCGCTCCACCTGCCGTTTCTCAGGAGCCCTTGGAATGTCATGCTCCGCGCCGGTTGTGCCGTGGCTCTTGTGTCTGGGAGGGCATCAAGGTAGCGGGTCCTGCTAAGAGGTTCGAGCACTGCCTTGTCCTCGCCAGCCTTTCTGCTTTGTGCATGCCTTCTGCAGCGCTGCTGAGAGCCCCCTCCGCCCCCTCTCGCCAGCTACCGCCCCCGAATTAAGGCCAAAGTGCGACCCCATAACACGTCCTCGTAATCTGTCTTTTGTTCCGACAGAGGAGGTTCTACTCCGAGTTTCTGTTGGTCAATTCCGTAACTATTTCGAGGGAAGTCCTGGATTTTCTTTGTCTTCCGCTGGAGGTTTCACATGTGCTTGCGGTTCAAACCTCGTCTTCGTTCCCCGAAGGAACCGTCACCATCGGCTCGCTCACACCTCTTGACAGCCTGATGGACTTGATTGGATAAAGGTTGGCATGTAGTGTTGGCCTCGGATGGTTGGAGACCACCATGAAGGACTGCCTTGCGTCCTCGTTAGATGATATCTTCGCCGCTTCAGTTCGACTGTCGGAGATGAAGTGTCCTCGCTTGGCTGGTACGCCAACACTCTCGCAGACAAGTATCATAGGATCGAGAGAACCACGTTCCCGTCGTCGGTCGACAAGATGAACTGGGACGACGAGGTCAACGAGTGGCTTCTTCCGTCGAACGAGCAGTCCAAGTGAGTATCTTCGCGCACTTCAGTTCGATATGAAGCCCTTGAGCACCTGCGGCCGATTAATTGGAATTGTGCGGCCGGTAAATCTACCGCAGGAAGCTATACCCGCATTAGACCAGTATCGAATCCCGTACTGGGGTTGGTTTTCCGCTCGTACACATGCTTCGATTTCTTTTCACTCTATTGTCTGTCACTCGCCATCCGGCCGGAGTTTTCATTCTCTTCTTGCGCTCCATCTCGAGTATCTTCTGGGAGTGCAGCTCCGGTGACTCCATGAAATGTATGTAGGACAGAAACAAGCGGTGCCGCAATGATTCCGCCAACGCTATCTTTCCGAGGAGAAGGGTGGCCAACCTATCCACAGCTAATGCTGTGAGATTTGACTGAGGACTAAGCGAAGAGTCAGCGAAAAGCAGAAGTGGGAGCCGCGGTAATAGTCGTATGACGCCAAACAATCCCCATCATTTTCCCACGCTGCCTAGTGTTTCCTTTCGACCTCGGGAGGATGAGGTACCTCGCAACGGGCACCTCCTGGCCACGACGACGTCCCCGGGCTTCACTTTGTGCATGGGGCACTTCCCGGAATCGGACACGTATATGAACCTGGCCTTCTGCATGATTCTTACCGGTAATCTGACGGTGCCATCTCAGAGCTTCGCGCCTCTAGGTATCCGCACTCTTTGAGCAAGATTTCCTTCTTCCTCGCGAGCCTGTTGACGTAGAAGGTCGATATATGGAACGCGTGGATGGCCACAGAGCTGAGCGGGTCCGCAAGAATGACCGTCTGGCACGCGCTGACCCCAGCATATGCACAAGGAGAAGATCTTGAACATAAGCACGATTGCCACGATCTGTGTAGGCAATAACACTTCATGAATATGATCATGCACCTCGCAAATGTCACCTCATTGTACCTCACGTTCGGGTTCTTGTTCGTGCCCGAAGACATACCCGGTTTCGTGTTCTCGAGGTGGCCGGAGATCGTGTTCAGGTTCTCAGGCATCCTCTCGTACGAGTCAGAGGTCATGTGTCTGAGCGAGGAAGGTGTGCCTGTTGTGTCTCGACGTGTGTGCTATCATCATCATCTCCCCAAGCACAATAGGTCCATCCGTATCAGCCCATCGTGCTCATCCCCAGGCCACCGACTCTAATGACGTGCGCCATCTGCTCCAGCTCCATGACGATGTTCATGTTCGAGCATGTCTTCATATCTGTGTCGATGTTCTGGGCCTTGGGCCTTTCCCCAGCCTGCGATCTATAAACTCTTGGCCCTGTCATGGTGGACGTCCCACAAAGTACAACGAGACGATGGAGAGCGTGTGGACCTTCGATGAGACGTACGCTTTCAGGACCGTAAGGCAGGCGTCGTCCGGAACTAGCAACAGGGGAGGGACAGGAGGGAGAGGGCCTTCAAGACAGTCGCCAAGGGCGCCATGATGTTGAACCAGATATCCAGGCCCATGGTCGTGGAGTAGTACTTGTCGTTATTGTTGAGGCAGCTGGGGTTTCCGAGCATAGACATGTTCACGAGCGAGATCATCGGATAGATATGCCGAGCTTCCGGCGCTCGTGACTATATCATCAGGCGGACCTTGGTGTTGGGTAAATGAGCGAGTATGAACTGCAGCGCCAACATGCGGAGCATCGAGCTGTCGATCGCGACCAAGATCATGCACGGCACGCCGTCAATGCCATCGCCGCCGTGAGAGAGCACTTCGTTGAAGAGATCACCGTAATCAAATCTGTGACTGGAATATGCATTCTGTGTGGTCCCATGATCGAGGCGATGACTGTGGACGTGCAGATCGACGACTTCAAGGACAGCAGCGCCACGGTGAGCGTGTGAGTCATGGCCCCTGAGATGGGAAGCGGGAACTTGGTCTCTCCTTCCACTGGCTCCCGCTGTATTAGCGGACAGGCTCAAGATGCTGGACATAATCGTGAGGCACAGCTGGACCGACATCTCGAAGATGCTCGAGAAAATCCCCAGACCATGCATAATGGAGGGCTGATATGCGTGGCAGACTCCAGGACGCTGCAGCTGACGGAGCCCAAGGCGGGCGATAAGACCTGTGAGGGCAAGGTGTATTCCGACGCCATCGCCAAGGGGACGAACTGGGTTCTTGTCCGGTCAACAATCGGAGGCGTTGTGACAGTATGGGCGTTCCACCACATCACATACAATCTGGATAGCGACCGCCATCGTTGAATTTGCCGCTGATGTCGCCTTCCGCTGCTCCTGATGACCTCTTGGTCATTCGTGTTGCAACCTGATTCCCTCTTCTGTGGTGAATTTAGATGCTCCCTTTCCTTTTACGAGACGGCTCTCTAGCCGTGGACGAGTCGGTTTCTCCCCTCAAGACACAACGCGGCGGGACCAGTATGCCACAGCAGACGATACTGTTTTGAACTCGACATGATGGCAGAAGGGCTATGCATTGGAGGGAATATCCGCGCGGATCCCACGAGCATCAAGCACATAAGTCATACACTGCGCCGGCTGGGGAGGACAACGAGGTGCTCATCACTTCCCTCGCTCCTCTGCAGCCGCTCTGAAAGCCAGAATATATTCGTAAGCGAGGATTCAGGCCACTGGGGCCGCCGAAGAATCAGCCGTGCGGAAGCACGCAAAATCCAAGCTGGATGAGCAAGGGGTGGGTGTTCGAACAGAGAAACCCACAGAGGAAAACCTAGGCATCGGGGCTGGAGGACATTATTGGAGGGTGTGAGAGAGGATCGGATTGTGGTGGCATGTAGAATTGCCCGCTATCCACAGGCTTGTAAAAAGGTCTGGGCTTGCAGAGAGAGAATGTCGCGGTAATTTTAAGGTTCCCGCTATCCCATTTCGGGCTGTCACCTGACAATGCATGTATTTGGGCCCCAACCTTGCACCGCAGCGACAAGCGCAGATGGAACCCTCATTCTAGAGCCTCGAGGCTCTCTGTCCGACTTCACTCTTTGGCAACGCGGCTCGACAGACTTCTAGCAGTGGCTGCTGCTGTCCTCGCCGCTGGCGAGTTGCTTCATTGACACTATGCTCGACGGCGCGGATTTCGAGTCGTTCCGCAGAGGGCCACATAGAGGGCGCCAAATCTACCATCTACAGATCCTTGAGTGCGGTGAGATCTGGCTCGGACGACACCATCCGGCTTCCTGACGCGGATGATCTTCACGTCAAGGCTGCCTGTCACAATCAACGAAATGCTCTGATCTTTAGAAGTATCTACAGCCCGGTGATGGGAGTTTGCTGGCAAAAGATGTATTACGACGACCTAAAGACATGCTTTCAGTGACAAAGACCTCGTCCGCCGGCTCATTTCACATGGAGCGGGCCTTAATGCTTGTAACAAGAGGCCATGTCCCTCTTTCGATGGCGTCACGCTTCGCTCCCCAGATACCCCAATACTGCAAGTCGGTCTGGTTGCAGCAGTCAGCCCTGGTTGTTATCTCCAGTGTACCGTCACAACGAGCCGCGGAGACGAGCTGGACAATAATGGTGCATCACCTAACACTCTCTTGGGCTGATAAGAAAATCAGAAGCAGCTTTGCTGGCGAAATCACCAGGCTTGGAATTCCACTGCACGCTCCGATCCGCGCGCGAGGGCCGGGAACGACTGGCACACCGGAAAGCATTAGGAGTATCAAACGTAGGCTGCCGCTTTAGATCAGGAATATCCGGGCCTCTCCTCGCTTCTCTATGATGGAGGGTGCGCCAGTGGTTAGAAATCAAACGGTCTTGGTTGCCAAGACCTCGGACACGGTGGCTATTGGCAACCTGAGGCAACAGAGCCGGTGGCATTCTAACAGGCGGCCTAGGAGAGTAAGGGGTGGTCCGAGGCGACCTATAAAGGCTCCGGCTCCGGTGCTCTGCTTAGCGAGAAAACAGGCAATAGGACGGGTCGAAGACGTCAATCTGAGTCTCAGGGAAGGCAGAATCATACAAACTCGGCGGGATTCAGCTAAGTGAGGAGATATTGGAAGAGGCAGCGGCGCTTATCTTGCAGCCATGTGGGAGCAGCAAGTGAGCAGGCAGAAGAAGAAGAAGGGGTTAGATAAGTTTCCGAAGCTTGGACACCATACGTACTTCCAGCCAGCCAGCCGCAGTCTGACAAGAAAGCCCCTACATGCCGAGGAAGGCAAGGATAAGGACAATGGCGTGGGAGAGACAAGGGGTGGAATAAACCAACACTGGTCTCAAACTCATGGGGGCAGGAAGATCCACGAACCATCTGTCTGCCCCTTCGAGAGCCGCTCAGGACAAGGCAATCACAGAAAGCCTCCTTCAGCCCGCTTGAACTGCAGCTACCCATCTGAATCCGAATCTGCAGATACCGCCGCCAGGGACAGCCGTTGAAGATACCGATCCCTCTCCTCGAGCTTCGAACGGATCACCTTATCCACGTCACTGCTCCAGTACTGCGAAATATCAGGGAACTCGGAACTGTCATCTCCCGAGAAGCGAGGCATGATATTCTGCTTGAACAGATTGTAGAACTTCGTCGTTTCGAGCGCGTGGAAGAACTAGAGGGACCCAATGGTCCAGTTCTCCTCCACCATGGCACTTCGTGTGGTCTCCGACGGCGACGTTAGAAGCATCTCTTGTTGTCGAAACTTGGCCATGAGTTCCTCGCGTGCGTTGCAGAATCTGTCAAGCTGGGTCTTGCCATAAAAACACTCGACCTTCTCTCCGGTCAACCAGTAAGGTGATCTCAGCATTTCGGAAGGGTGTGAACACGCCCATTCCAAGTCTATCAGGCTCTCGACTTGCCACCGCTCGTTGACGAAGATGTTACTCTGTTGCAGATCCGTGAGACCGAGGAAAACCGGGCCTCGTGCGGTCTTGCGGTTGATGAACTAGGGGCATGATGGACCTCGTTGGACCTACGGCGGACATCTGTCTCCTCCCGTCCTTCTCATCGTTCATGGAGTTTGGCTGATGCAGAAGGCGGCTGTCATGGTACGCTAGGAGATCCAGCACGTAGCTCTCGGTGCATTCATAGGTTCGTAAACGGTCATTACCTGTCGGAATGTCTTCATTTTCGAGTGCTTGGAGTTGGAGAGTTAAAGGCCGCTTGGAGAGTGATATGTATCCCTGGTCGTCAATGGTAAAGGAGCCAATTCGAGGTTGGGGAATCTTTGCTAACGACACCATGATACGGGACAGATCCTTGAATTGGTTCCGCCGCCGTGATGGAACGCATATTTGAGTATCTAATGTCTCAGAGAGCATCTGCCCGCGCTCGATATACCCCAGTACAAGGTAACAAAAAGCGATGATGTTCGACGATCCCGGACAAAAGGCGACGCTGATGGGAATCTCGCAAAGGTGCGCAGCCGATCGGCAAACCATCGACAGAGCCGGTCTAAAGAAGCATTCTCAAGAGGTGTGAACTGCTTGTAATTAGACCGCGTCACCAAGGCTCGACTAGACAAGCAGGCTAACGTGGATTTCAGTGGAGACGCCGAAGCCCAAGAGCATGGGGATGGGGACATCAGGACAGTGTTGGTGAATGTAAATATAGGTTGCCGCCTCACATCTGACTTTCTCGTCCATGTTGCCTGGGACCAAGCCCTCACCGACTTTATACGGGAGTGGGACACGGAACAGAACTCGTTTGAGCCCCTTCCAATCGACATGAATAGGAACACGCAGATTGAAACTGCCGTGGTTCCAATCGGCGACCTCTGAAAGCTTGCAAGCATTCACGTTGACGTTGAGACATTGTGCAGCAATATGAAGAATTTCATTCTCTTTCTCAAGAAGCATGACTATCAAACTGGATGCGTTTCTCTGGGTATTGCAACATGTGGAGGACATTGTCTTCATCATCAAGGGCTTCTGATAGCCTCATCTTCTTCCCGCTCAGCTTCACCCATGGAGTGGAAAATCCAATGGGAAGCCAAGTATTGGAGATCAAACATCTAGTCTGGTAGTAGATGGACGAGGGACCGGATTTCGACGGCTCAGGTCACAGGCGGGGCGACGGTGTAGGGACAGAGCGGATCGCAGCAGGTGGCGGGCGGTATGGAGAAGATCGCAGAACGAGGTGGAGATATGGAAAGGCTTTCGGAAAAGAAGTTCAATGTCAAGGCTAGCACAAACTAGAACAAGGACTAGATAAGCGGACGGCACGCGATGGCCCTGGGTCGATAGAGATAATGAAAGTGAGCGGCGGCATCTCACATGAGGGACTTGACCTTGTTTCGCATGGGAGCTCCCCAGCGTGGAAGAAGGAAGCTTTACCGAGACTCTCCTGCCTTTTGGAGAACCAGGCTGCGCCGTTTTAAATGAAGTGACCGCCAAGTCAGAATATCAGTAAAACGCCGTGATATGCTATCCAGAAATGGAACTGGCACCGGGCTCTAATAACAAGGCAGAGGCCAAGAATCAACCAAGTTGACGGCAACGGGCAGCACGTCATTGATCTTGTGTTGACAACGTCGACTCGAGGCGCGACATCCATCTCAGTTGAATTTATCAACACTACCTGTACAAGTAGGCACTGAGAGCGCTCTGCCAGGACAACTGATCACGCCGCAGGCATGCACAGCGTACCACGTGATTGCGCGTGCGCGTTGCATCTTGTGAAAGGGTGCAATCCTCACTCCCGACCCTGAGAACTATTACCCTCGTCTTGCCACACGAATCATTCCAAAAGTTGCATTCTTTCATGACCGTCGCGTAAGTCAGGGGCCTTCTTCTCCATATGAATACTGACACCTGCGCACAGAAGCTCCGACACGTCAACTTCCCCCTCGTCACCTCAGTACTCCCAGCTTCAATATCCACGGAACCACTCCTACCTATCGTTCACCGAATCGGTCTTCGTACATGTCGACGGCACAAAAGTAACTGAGAAGGTCATTGGACAGGGTGCAACAGGGATTGTCATTGAGCAGGGACACTACGCACTGAAGGTGCCTTACATTTCGAGACACATCAAGATTGATGGAGTACCCGTGGAACTGGGTTCCTTGACACCAAAGGAGGGCGAGTACGACGACCGAATTCCGGTCATTGAAGCGATTGGAGTTGAGAAGGCAATCTATCGAAGATTAGGTAGCCACGACGGTATTGTCCGCTGCTACGATCTCGAGACATCCGACCCTTCGATCCGAATGGAGCGCATGAGCGGTGATCTTCGTCATTTTCTGAAGGAGCAGGAACTACAACTACCGCGCGGGACTCTGTTGTCCTGGTTTCTCCAATTGGCCCACACAATGGCCTATATCCACGAACACCGGATTATCATTGCAGATATTCGATTGGATAATCTCCTCCTCAACAACACTTTAGATGTGAAGTTTTGCGACTTTGGAGAATCAACCTTGATGCCGCTCGAATGGGACCTATCTGGGACTGACGAGCTTGGTTATTCAATCTTGAATGACATTGGGCAATTTGGCGCGGTAATGTACCAAGTCATCACCGGACGTGAGTGCAAATTCGACCTGACACGGGAGGGATCCGACAGTTTGTATTCAGGGCCACGACGAGATGACCTCCCGTCCACCGAATCTGTCTGGCTCCCCCATATCATTGAGAACTGTTGGACTTTGGGGTTTCAGTCCTCCAAGGAACTCGCCGCAGCGCTGGACCGGGCACCACTTTCCTGAAATCACGGTCTAAGATATCTGTAAGAGAAGACTGTTTCGCGAAAAGAAGGACATCGATGACCAATCTGGTATACAGTACACGCCTGTGCAGCAGCAACTGAGTGCCGAGGCGCTAGATGGCCTGACAACGCACGTTAGCCCATCAGTCCTCAGCCCTTTGGAACATAGTGGCCTGCTCCTCCAGACCGCGGAGAATCACCTCAGGATGGCATCTTCGCCCTGCAGGAAGGTCGACACACCCGGGCTTAACCAAGTCTAGAGACGCTTTTCGATGGTGAGACTCGGTGAGCGATCCGGGGCTCCCTTGGGGCCAATATCAATACCTGCGAGATTCTCCGCATCATAAGCAGGATCATGGCCCTATGGTCTCGAGATACCAGACTTGTGAGGTGCGGTATGTTGCTGAACGGAAGTACTGACAGCGCCACCATTATCGTCCACTGGAGAGGCATTGAAAAGGACTGGTACTTGTGCAAAGGCGCTGTATCTCTCCACACTCCCCCATACGTCTCTTTCACGTCCCCGTGATTCCACGCCTCTCCCAAGCTCTGTCCTCGAATCACCACTGGCAGCTTTGAGCTATCTTTGAGGTGTGGGAAAGCTCTTTGCCTCATCACGCACAGTTGGGCCACCCCAAACAACTGATACGTGATCTTTGTCAAGCTATGAATCTTGCCCACCTCAGAAATGATCCGACACACAAACGAGGGCCTCCAGCTCATCGGCGATACATGCGAGGCGTGCTTTCAATCCTCCTTCACCAGGGGGGAATGAACGGATAACGGATCCGGGGACTTGTAGGTCGATATGGCGACGGTGAGAGGTACCATTCCTTGTCGCTTAGATGAAAATCGGGTGCGTACCAATGTTTAGAGTAGCAAGTTGTCATAGCAGCAGAGAAGGATACATCTCCCAGCCACTGCAACCTGATTGCCTACTTCGACCATCGTCTCGTCATTGCCGTATGATTTTCTTTCGATTACTGAAACCGGAAACGGGGTGATGGTATCAATATGATCCGAAAGGACATATTCGGCTGGCGGTTCGATCGAACCCCCGCCCGTCTGTAGGGTTGTCTTTCCCGTTTCGAGACAAGGTCTGTCAAAGACGAGTAGCGCATTCAGGACGACAAATTCTGACCTTGCTATGCTCCCAGCTCGGGGATTCTGGGCTGGCGTAGCCCTGTAAAAGGTAGAAGAGCAGCCTCACTCGTTGTCGCGTTGCAGGCTCTCGGCAATGCGGTCGGCCTCGTACTCGGCGTGCTCTGGAAGTTTCCTGGAGTCAACTAACGGTTGGGAAAGTTGAGAGGCTGCGGAGGTTGTTGCGACCTAGTTTCGAGCCTTGTTCTCCAGTCCAGGTCAATGGTGAGCTCGCGGTGACTTTGAAGCCAAGCGGGACCCTACCAAGCTTCCTAACAAAGTTGAGACTCTTCTCCTCTATCTTCAGCGTCTAAACAACCGCCTCGAAGCGGCCAACTTCTCGTCTAGTTCTCCTCATAATACCGGGCTTCTGAACATGGGGGACAGAAGCTAGATGTCTCGAGCGCACGTTAGCCATCTCTTGGAGACCTTCCTCGCAGGCACTGCTGATGGAAGGACTGAAGTGGCGCAGAGGTTGTTTCGGGAGGAATCAAGATGTCTGCGATGCTAGCTCGGAGTGGCGAGGACTTAGCCTGACGATAGGACGCCGCTCAGAGCCTCGAATCGGCCGCCAGATCATAACTCCGCATGAGTGAATTGGCTCACAGTCGTTAGCAGCCATGAGTCAGTTAGAACTCCAGGCGATTGCGGCCTGTGCCGTACGAAAAGGGGATCAAGTGAAAAGATGACTCTCCCAAAGGTCCAGAGTGCAGATCTCGCCACGAGCCTTGATGAAGGTGCCGTGCGTCAAGGTCAGCGTTGCTGGCAGCAATGCTCTGCAAGGGACAACGGGATCGTGTCTGTGTACAGGTAGCATCGTATAGAGCGAACGGACGGGATAGAAGATGTGCAGCCTTGTTCTGGTCTCGGGTTTGACAACATTGATTGGACCTGAAGGACGAGCGGACACCCTGAAATGACAGAGTGTGGCACTTGGTCTCATTCGGCATCAGGATTCAGACACAGCAAACCGGAAATATCGAGCACGGTGAAGAACATTCAACTCGTTCGATTGCAGTCTTTCGGCTACCTGTTCCATCTGAGCAAAGTCAAGCTAATGCAACACAGTTAGCTGATGAACTCCGCGCCCAGGTCCGAGGAGTCGTGATGATACAGCCCAGGATTCCCAAAAGCCATCCAAGAAATGTCCATTCATATCAAGGGCTTGAGTGCAACACCCGTCATAATTGTTCTGCAACTCTGGTCCCCGTAGAGACAAAGACACGGTATAACGCCCACGACAAGCCTCGAATACAAGCCTCGAATGATGAGTAGGGCAGAACCTGAGACCAAAACGGACATGGACGCGTCATTTCTTCTCGTGCATCATATCGCACCCAAGGCAAACAAGCTTGCGGGGCAGTCTCGTCTGGCAATTTCAATCTTGTTCCGAGAATATGGAGGTGTCCCATGACAGTCTCCCGGCTTGAGATATCGCCAGTCACACCCAAAGAGGATGCCGTCCTTCAAGAGACGTGATGACTGCACACCTCCACACTTTCAAACAGTGAAAGAGCCTCGCACGAGGACACGAACGGCACATGCGAAGCATTCTAGTCTGCACCCTGCACCCGGAAGGTCAATCGTGGTGATTGTGTATCCTCATCTCTTAACTTGCCTCAGGCTGCGGTGGCATCGCCCGCCTCGGTCGCCGTAACCTTGCTCAAAGGGGCGATTGGAGGCGACATGACGCGGGTTTGGTCGGGGATCGACGGAGATGAGGTATGGCTGTCGCCGGGAGTCATTCGTCGTGTTTACTCAATGTCGTTGCCTACCTTGAGATAGGTTCCCGTATCAAGGACAGAGGGTTTCCTTCAAAAGATACCATCACATCTAAAGGCTGATGATGGGTGCGCTTATGGGGCGCTCTCTGTTGCTGTCAGCTCGAACACAATCACATCGCGTTTTGAGGGCTCAAGGAGTCGTGGAAACGGGCTTGCACCCAATTACACCTGATCAAGATGTTTGGTCTAGATGTGTCCATCTCTGTGCGTATCGCGTCAAAGGCCTGATTCAAAGTAATGTCGGTCAGACCGGAGAATGGGCTCTCTTTGCGCACGAAGATGACGTCGCGAAGAAGTCACCAGAAGAACAAAAGGACGCATGCAGGCCACGGGGTATAAGTTCAGGTAGTGCTCATTCAGACTGATCGGAAGTATTCCACGAATGTTGTGCCTCTGCGCGTGCAACAGGGATGGGCCGTGAAGAACACATCGAGTCGTCGGCATTGAGAACGCAGGCCGGGACTAGTGAGACTTGGCACCTGAAGAGATGGTGTGGTAGCGCTGGTTAGCACGTGACCATCACGTGACCCGTACACTTAGATAGCTCCCAGTTGGCCCCTGTCAAGTGCTACAATCAGGAATCCCTTGGTCCTCGTTCGACCCTACAATGGTAATTTCACGCCAAGTCTCTACCCGTCCCCTCACAAGACCACGCTCTCCAAATTCAGTCCGTTCCCTCAGTCAGTATTCAAGACTTGGGTGCTTGCCAAGAGGACATTAAATCAAGTGGCTCGTCACGTGCGTAGCGCCATTTGCCGAGGCATATATGATAATCTGCCCTCCCCTCCCTTTGCCTGACTAAATTCATACTTTGTCCGCTGCTACATCCTTTTTCTACCACCGCGTTGCTTCCCTTTGGTTCACGCCCATGAAGAGGCGCAAGTCGTTCAAGATTAAACACAAGAACATATCCCGCGGTATGGCTCTCAAGACCTGATAGCCTGGCAGCTCAGGCCAACGAATATCTTCGAACGCTTCAGGTCGCCAGCCCTGACATCGCGGTCGTCCGAAGAGAAGTCTATTCCCTCAAAAATCGCGCAAAGGAAAAACAATTCGGCTCTGATGGCCCGCGATATGGCTCCGTGATACAGCCTGTTCTCGACTCAAGAGCTACTGGAACGGTAACGATGACTACTATGGGTCCAAATTTCAATTGGGAGCGGAGTGAGGACTACAAAGTCCTGCATGCATCTGGCAAGCCAGATCAGAAAGAGCTGGCTCGTCTCAAGACCGAACATGGCGAGGGGAGAAGCAGCCTGGCGCTGTGTCGCGCTGGTACCCTGGCGGAAAAAAAAAAATGAAAACAAAGTGCTACTCAACGTTTCTGATAGACGACCCAGCTCATTCTCTACAATTCTTCCTACACTGCCAGGCAGGGTAGTTCACGTCGCTGGAGCGACGTTCCTCGATTCAGGGTCGCCTTCTCAAGTTACTCAACGCCTAGCAAAGCGGCACCCGAAGCCCTGGCAACTCCAGAACTTGAAATCCCAGAAGAACCCGAGCGGAATCACAAAGGTGAGATATTGAGTCGCCATCAGCAGACTGCCTCGACTTTTCCTTCTTCTTTGACCCCCCAAACGGATCCAGGCCCTCCAACGCTTGTGTTGTTGGGCTCTTGGGGTGGCACAAGGACCAGTAGTCAAGGGTGCACGGCAACGACCGGCAGGCACCTTTATCAAAAGGTCATCGGTTGTAATAATGTGCATAGGACAGCTAGACACGCCGGAAGATCTACGCGTCGAACCCTTCATAGTCATGGAAATGCAATACAATACCACTTAATTCGTTCCTATTAGAACATGCCACAATCATTTTACCAATGTCGAAATACAGCTGCCTTGTAGACAGAACCTAAAGCCATAGTCACAATACATTCAAATTGTCGAGGATTGGATAACCTGGCCAAGCTTATTCTGCGGAAAGCCTGGACCGTGAGTGCAACAAGCCGATGTGTGAACCAGATTCGCAATGAGCAGATGCGTACTCAGACGAAGAGTGAGGGAGGCATCTCCCAGAAGGCGCCCCGAATGAAAGTTGAGAAGACCCCCAAAGGTCGGGGAGGAAGACTTGTTACCCTGGGTAATGTGTGGCGGTTGTGAACTTGGGATGTTGATCTCGATCGTATCGCAGTCGACTACCCTAGCGCTCAGGGTCTGTAGTTGCTTGCAAACGCCAAAAACGGTGAGGAAGTCCGAGCCTTGGCCGTGCTGATCTGCATCAATAATGGTGCTCACGGCAGGGTATGGTGTAGGCGCCATGATGCCTCCTTGGCCACCCCATGTAATTCCTGATGTTCTGTAGATGAAGCGGCTGCCTGGACCCAAGAACCACCGAAAGAGGTGTAGAAGCTGCTCCTTGGAGCGGAAGAGCAACGCGGAGCCAAAGATATCATACAGGTCCTTCGTCGAAGCCGTTTCAAGGAAGAAGCATCCGTGGGAGAGTGTGTTTTGTAGTAGACGGAGTGGGAATGAGCCAAGAGTCTGCAAAAAGACGAGAACTTCGGAAGTGGGTGGAAGCAATGGGAGTTCGATCGATGATGGAATCCCGAGGTCACTGGAATGATCCTCGTATAAAGTTTGCTGATGCACTGTTGGCACAACCATGGGCTTTTTGGTATGTAGTGCTGTGTCTTCCGGACAGGTCCTTTGGGATCCATTGACGGTAATAATTGGCTCGAGGTTGTCCACCCCCTTCTCCGGGGCTTTCCAGCTGTAAGCATGGCCATCACTTGGAAATTCGGCCGTGCTGTTGGTGGGTTCTTGTAAATGTCCCTGCGAATCGCTGACCCTTTTCGCTAAAGCCAGAGCCTGTTCCATAGAGCTTTTGACAGCAGTAATGAGACTTGATTGCTCTGTCAGAAGACTCTTGCTCTGGATGATATCGCCTGCAAGTGTCAAAAGGATGCCGAATATTTCGTCAACCGTTTGCTCGAGTTGCTGGGTTCGAGCGCTCAAGTGGCTTGCAGTAGTGCGTTGGCGCCTACGAAACCTTTTCTGGGCTTCGCGGTTTCTTTCTCGACGAATCTTCGCATATAAGTAGGTGTATATGACATGGCGAAGGGATCGGAAATCTTGAGCGGGAGAAGAAACGGCCGCCTTACCGAAGGATTTGGTGCCGCCAATGCTACATTTGAACCAGTCAGATTCCCACTGGATACAGATTGCGAGGTCTGCATGATGTTTTCCGGGCAGCGGGGGTTCAAAGAGTGAAGAAGAAGAGGGTTTCTTTTACTTCGATGGGACGGCAAGGAGCACTCTCATAGACAGGATATAATTAACAAACGAGGTCGGCGAAGGAAAAGCTAAACGACAGATGAGGCTAAATGACTGAGGGGAAAATGGAGGGGAAAATTCCCGACTTGGCTGGGTTGATCACTAATCTATAAATTTAGCACAGCTACAGCGTAAAGAGAGACAGATGATAACTGATGTAATTAACCAACCCCCAACCCTTGTAAAACGAAAAGGACTCGACGCGCTCTACGTCGTCCAGCTAGAGTACAGCACCCTAGTAAAAATATCCGTCTATGTCACGTCGCCAGCACAGCACAAAGTGTTACAGCACTAATAACATGAATACGAACTCGAGGAGAGTCTATCTGAGAGTTGGCCTGCCTGCGACGAGGTAATGGTCGCAGGCAGTGCGCGAAACAGTCACGTGCCAACTAGGTCTTAGCGGAACCGTGACAGTCTAACCTACCCTAACTGAGTATTTCCACTACTACTACTATTACTATATAGTAGATAGCGTATATAAAAGAGGAAGATAAGGGAGAGGGGTAAGATAATAGAGATCTCTTATAGTAGAGTATATAATATAAGGAGAGAGAGAGAATTCTTCCCTTCTTCCTTTCTCTCCTTAGGTTTATCCTCCTTATGTAAATGTAGTTAAAGTAACTAAAGAATAAGTAATAGTAGCTGAAAATCTAGTAGGTGGAAAAATCGTGGGGAAGACGGATAATTTTACTAGGGTGATGTAATAAATAAGGTTACTCTTCACAACTATGGGTGCATCCCCTCCCTTACTATGGTACTTTATAAATGGTTATGTAAGAAGTCGATCTGAGCAGCAATGTTCTTTTCGAACAACGCCCCCTCGTATAAACTAAAGTGACCGCTATCAAACCTCACCAACGCTTTTGGGTCTTTAGCCGTTTCAAACACCTCTTGCTGTTTGCTTGGACTGATAAGGGAATCGTTGGATGCGATCGCCATGAATAGCGGCTTGTTTAGAAACGGCACAAAGGCCGACGGTTCGGATCGAATTGCGTGAAACAGGGTTTGCATAGTGATTCGGTTTTCCTTGTCGATACCAAGTTCCTTGATATGTTGGTAGTAATGCCAACTCTCTTCTGTCGCCATCATGGCCGCAGCTGGATCAGGTTGAGCTGCATTGTACTCTTCTGGGAAAACAGGAATATAGGTGGGCTCCGATTCCGTCGTCGCTGCTCGGTCTTCATATATTCGGGCAAGCAGAGGCGCAGGCATTTGAGATCGTAGGTGGTTTCCGGATACGAATGGAACTTGTGTGATGACGACCTTGACCCTGGGGTCAACTGCTCCGGCAATCAACGCGATACCACCCGAGAAGCTGGACCCCCAGATTGCAATACGTTCGGGGTCGATGTCGAGCTCTGTTGACACGTACGCAACGACATCATGAGTGTCTTGGGTTTGCTGGTAATGGTTTGAATGATGACGCGGAAGCCCATCGCTCAGTCCCCAGTTCCTATGGTCGAATGATACGGCAGCAATGCCAGCTTTCTGGAATGATTCTGCAAAACTCGGCAGGAAGTGTTCTTGGACGCCAGATAGCTATGAGACCGTATCATTATTATCACGCGTGACTGCGTACCGAGAGGAAGCTTACCCCGGCCGACAGGATTATCACGGGCGCCTTGGGACCTGCAGCGTAGAACCAAGCTCGGATTGTAGTCCCATCGTGGGTTTTGATTTCCAAGTCTTGATGCATGGTGGAAGAATTGGGGAAGGATCAATTAGCAAGGGCTCTGAATTCTTTAGTATCACGCCTAGAACAAACCCTCTCGTGGTTTTATCCTCTATGTAGTTTCCTACAGGGTGTGTGAATATGTCAAAGCACCAAGGACTAACATCGGTGAAGGTTTGTCATTATTCCACACTCCCGAGGCATTTCTCCACACCCGTAGTGTCGCTACCGACGAATCCTTTACCAGGGTCTTTCCCTCCCCGATGGTTGTGGTGTCGGTAATTGCATCGCTGCTGTGGATTTCAGCTAATAGGTGCCTGCGACACTTATCACGGATCAAGAAGACAGCATGAGATATACAGAAACTAAGACACCATTGACTAGTCAAGATTTCTTTATCAATCTAGAAGCTCGAGGTCATGTAGCTCTCTTGATGACCAGCGGGAAGGGGGCATGGGCTCCGCGAAGACCGAGAGACTATCCCGCTGCCCCTTTCCCCAGTTCCTAACAGACACCTGTCTACTAACAAGTATCCGCTGCACTTTATCAGAGACGAATCTAGTACACAGTAGCGAGTAAAAATCGAAAAAATTAGTAGTTTTACCGAGAGCGTATTAGTATAATAGCGAGTAGTTCTATATATAGTGTAAAGAACGGTATATAAAGAATAGATCGCTATATAATAGGTATAGCGTTTTATGATTTATCTATAGACTTAGTAGATTACTTATTACTGTAGCTCTATATAAATAGCCTCTTATAATATAGTAGTAATACCCTTAGGCAGTTTATACCTTTAAAAGCCTAGGCTGTTAGGACTACTATAAGCGCTTAATTAGCCCTTAGAATGCGCCTAATTAACGTCTTATAAGTATAAAATATCTCTCCTTCCTTCATTACTTAATTATAGTATTAAGATAAGGAGAAATCGCTTAGTTTAGAGCTAGAATGTCACGAACACCTACATAATACTATACACTTAGCTTAGGCTACTAACTAAGGAGTTAGGCCGCTAGTTAAGTAGCTAGCTTACCGTATATATATAGTAAGAGGGGTCGTACCTATTAATTTTAAAGCCTCTTTAAGCGTTAACATCTCTATCTATAGGCTAGTTATCTATCATTATTAATCCTATAGTATATATATTTACCCTCCAGTTAGGTAACTAGTCTGATACTACTTTTAAGCTATGAGTAAGAAAATAGTAGAAGAACTAGATTATAAGAGAACTTCTAGATAAGATTATTACTATTAAGTAGAATATTCTAGATAATCTACTATTATTTAAGTAATAAATCTATAAGAAGTTTAAAAAACTAG